ACTGCTGCTGCGGGGGGGGGGGGGGGGGGGGGGTCAGCTTTCACAGACACACGGCCAAACTGCTGCTGCTAAGCGTTTATTGGAGGATAGCGTCAGACCCTCCTCCTCCTCTCATTCTTAGCTCCAACTTTCTCATTTTCACACAGTTTCTTTCAGACTCACGCAACACAGGGATAAGCTCCAACATCGCTCTCACAATCTCCGAGTCCTTTGTACAATGTCCAAAGTCCTTATCCAAAACCTTTACACGCTCCGGACCGACGTGGACCTTCCCACAGTACTGCACCACAGGCAGCCCCAGCGTACGCTCACACTCCATCAGGTAACCAACCCGCACAGCTCCGTGCTCGGCACCGTCAGCCATCACCCTCATAGCACGGGGCTATTCCGACAAATCACACTCATAAGCACACAATTCACTGAAACTTCATTTCACTCCCCGCAATAGTGAAAATAAAATGAATTATTTTTTTTAAATTATTATTAAAATTAATAAATATATATATATTTTTTAAAATAATAATAATAATTATTATTATTAATTAATTTAAAAACCCACCCCGCAACATATGGAAATTATTAATAACGTCACTAGTTGTGACGTCACCTGGCTACACCCCAACCCTGCCTCACCAGTGAACTTTTGACCCGTGACCTTTATGACCTTTGGGTCATAAATCTTTTTGAAAGAAGCGGTATTCTATCTCTCTTCCCTTTATTGTGCCCAGGCAGGTAGAAGATGTAAAATCTCTGATCATAAATGAATAATATGATTGGTACCCTGTTCACTCAATGTCATTTGAAAGAGTTTTTATTTTGATGTGCTCAGGTATGCGAATCACATCCTGAGGCATGATTTTGAGTCAAATATTACAGCAAAAGTCACTTGGTGAAGATCAGGGGATGTGAGTGAGCTGGATGGATGTGAGTGGTATAACTTAAAGGGATGTGAGTGAGCTGGATGNATGTGAGTGGTATAACTTAAAGGGATGTGAGTGAGCTGGATGGATGTGAGTGGTATAACTTAAAGGGATGTTTTCTAGCTCAAAGATTATGTGGGAAGCACCAAAGATGCACACGTTCCCATGTCTTAAACTGTTCAGGGTCACAGTTGCCTAAGGAGTTTGAGTGTAGAGCAGTGTTTCCGGCCCTCTCTGCCCCTTCCCACCTCCTCCAGGGCTGACCCCCCCTTTATTAAATGCCTGCCCTTTCTCCTCAGCTACACCCACATTTCATTAAGAAATGGGAAGCTCTTTTTAAAAGGACTTGCCAGTTTCGGGTGGGTGGCGCGATACTGCTGCTCAGCATATGATTAGCCCCACCATACATATACACACCAGTAGACAATCACCTCTTTTACTCTTGCACCACTATCTGCAACAAAGGTTACAGCCCCCGTCACAAAAACTCAGAACTTTTCAGACTGACAGCAGTCTGTTAGCCGTGCGTACCCTTGTGCCGCTTTTCCTTCATTTAGGTGCTCAATGAATCTCCATTCAGTAGGACAAAGAAGTTTTGGGGACAACTGACTGGTACATTAAATTCCATAACAAATATCACATTGCTCAACCACCTGGACAATAGGTATGAATATACAAACAATGAGTCATACAAGGCCGCTGTAGTTCATTACGACCTACGCCCGTGGGGCTCTCCGCCTTCCTATGAATATTCAAGGAAGATCACTCAATTTCAGAACTTTCTTAAGTACATTAGTACTCTGAAAGTTTGAAGTAGCCCTTCACCAAAACTTAAGTATCATATCTGGGATATTTAGTGATATGGCGACACCTTGTGGTAGAATGATGTGAAGATGCGTCAGAAATCATCCGTGTGATTTGAATACGGAGCCATACAAGAACATTTATTTAAAAATTCGATAAAAAAAAATTTGATTTAAAATTGTACACAGTCTTTTGTCATAAAAACTTCAATCAAGGTCTTCTATGTTTGACCTTTAAACTTTTTGCACTTCTGTATCAGAGATTTCGCCGGTCATCCTCACCTATTTACTGAACTGTAATCAATGAAATACTCCTTATCTTCGACAGCTCACTGTGGCGTTGTTTCTCTTCATTGACAGAGGAGAATAATTTAAACAATAACATAACGGAGGGTGTCTGGCAAAGGGGTTACCTTACTGCCCTGTTTCTCTGTTTGACTCTCACCGCCTCCCTCATGTCTCACATGTTCATGTTCATGTTCATGTTCACATGATTGCATCATATAATTTATTGCAGATTCATCGGCTGGAAGTAGGCATTACGAGATGAGTAAATTGTGGTTATAAAGGGATGCACATGGTCAGCAACAATACTCCGACAGTAGTGATGCAAGCTAGAAAAAGTGTTTTGAAACATTTTAGAACCTTTGCGATACTTGTGTCAGAACATGGCCCTGAAGTCTGTATTAAAATGACGAAGTCACTTGACCACGCTGAACAGGTCTTTATACCAACATACTGTCTCAAAACATTTCAGGTTTTTTTTTTTGCTTCACTCGGTCTCAGTCCAAGCACAGTTGTAAAAATGTCTTTGTTATTAAAACATTATAGAAGCTCAGTGCTGAAGTATTCTCCTGTTGTGTATAGGCTCTGGGGGTCAGGAGACTATGGGCACAAAGCTGGAAGCAACCCAGGATGGGGCACCAAACCATTGCATGGCACAGTCACACGGGAAATTAAGTAAGTCTAATTCACCTCAGCATGTTTTTAGATTGGTGGTGGGGGGGGGTGGGTTGTAAACCAGAGCACCCAGAGGAAACCCCATGAAGACAAGGGGAGAACATACACACTCCACACACATGGAGCCAAGGCAGGGACTTGAAACCTTGTCCCAGAGCTGTAGAGCAACAGCACTAACCACTGCACCACCATGCCACCCCCTATATATAGATACATTTTTATATAATTATTTTAAAATAAATATAAAAATGATAACAACAATAAAATTGTACAAAATCTTAAATGTAGCTCAAATGTGGTGCCAGTGTTTGTTGAATATGTCTTTCCTAATACCACATACATAGTTTTTGTGCACTTCTCTAAGACAGTGTCCAGGGAGTAATTTTTGGCCACTAGATATGTTACTGTAGGGCCGTGGTTCCCAAACTGGGGGGCGCAGAGGTATTGCGGAGGGGCGCACCAATGGGATAGCCTCAGGAGCAAAATAATCTCTTCACAGACTGGACGATTAAACAAATAAAGCAGCGCAACATTACAGTAACTAACAATAAATAAACCACTAACTTACGTGTACTATTAGAGCATTTATGTCATTTATTTAAACTTTATTTTACCAGGTAAATTAACTGAAAAACAGTTGAAACCGCTTTACGTGATATTCGGGAGAAATAGCAGATAACGCATCGGAACTTCCTGGGATACAAACGTCATACAAACGCCACGTTCTTCAGCCAATAAGGGCAAAGTTGTGTCGTCACGGAGGCTGTTCCAGTTTGTTCAGCCGGCTGAGAGGTGCTGTACGATCTGTTTTAAGTCGTCTTGCTCTTGCAAGGTTTTTGTACCATGTGACATGGTGACGCGTGACGACGTTTTGCAGCGTCTGACAAAAAAATCTAACCATATCATGAAAAACGAGGTTTAAAATTTTCTACATGAAGTGCAGGGAGACTATCAATTAATGGGTATGATTGAGTGTTGTTTTGTGCCATGGTATGGGCTGAAACCTGCGGTTATCATTAAAAACAAAATGCGGTAATCGTAAGACAATTAACTTCAATTTGTGTACGACAATGAATATTAACAGGAATGTTAAATATGCATTAGCATAATTTCAAAATTATGCTGGACTTTTATTTTTAATTGGTTGCTCTTTTTTCTCCCACAGTGGTGAAATTGCACAATTTGTATTTTGTAATTGCATTTGTTTCGCTCAGTTAGAAAAGGGAGTTGTATTTCAAATAAAGTTTATTGAATCTGAACCTGTTTAGTTTGAACGGGGGGGCTCAATAATGTTCCTATCTAGAGAAGGGGGGCCCTGCAGAGAAAGTTTGGGAAGCACTGCTGTAGGGCAATATTTTTCACTCATTTCATATTTTTCAGTCGTTTCAGTCCATCTCTCAGAAACTGCATGTACGCCCTCGTTACCAAATAGGCTGTGGCTTTTAAATGATCCTCGATTAGTACGAGGGGACACAATGTGTGTCAATATGAAAACCTCCCCCACCTCATTACCCCAGTACCACCAGCCTGAACCATTTACAAACAGCAACATTGGATCCATGGATTCATGCTGCTTACACCATACTCTGACCCTACCATCTGCATGTGGTCTTCTGCTGTTATAGCCCATCCACCTCAGGAGATGTTTTTTATTATTTAATGAATGTGATTGGCCGATTAGATATTTTCACGAGCAAGGAGGTGTATGGGTGTTCCTGAAAAAGTGCTGTGAGTCTATATTCTCTCTGTGCTTGAACAGGTTTTCTCCCACAGTCTAAGATTACGCAATTAAACAATATAATGTGTATGTGCCCTGCAATGAATTACCATTGTATCCAACATGTTCTCTGATATATGCCATGTGCTCTCTCTGGATGGATGGATGGATGGAATAACACCTTTACGGGAGCTGAGGCTACCTTCACGACTGAGTTTACCTGTGTATAAAGCGTTTGATCATATCTGCAATATGCGTCAATCAATTTTGCTCATTCATTTTATTAAAAGTCTAATTTAAAATGCCCAACTTATAATAAGAGGAAAGTGAGAGGCCTTTAAGTAAACATTATCTATGACCATTACAAATAGATTAAGTAAATAATTGTCTTTAATTTAGTCCACTAGAGGGCAGACCAAGGAAAGAAAACAATAATCTTTGTTCTTGGTTTTATACTGGAAAAAAGATCATGATAATTATTTTTCTGTTTCAATTAATATTACGTGTTATAAACTTTGGAAAATTCCATATTCTTCGTATGTGCGCACTTGAGAAATCTGACCTGAATGATTAAGAATAACTAACATACAGGTACTGCTGTCAAATGAATCATCCATTAAACTTTAATTGCACATAAGCATTTGTCCAATACAAACAAAAAGAAAATTCTCTGTAAGATATAGCATTTATGACAAGATTTACTTCTTTTTAATTTATTCTATTATGTTAATAATAAATTATGTACAATTGTCTTGATATGACAAGAAGCAGGATGGAACGAGAGAAGAGGAGCGAGGACAGAGACAAATTGCATGCTTTGAGTGACAGGCCACAGTCCGGTGACGGTCAGGGGTCGTCGGGGAGCTGCTGCTTGATCTACCAGATGGCTTCCCTCAAGCAGAGCGGACACAATGAGTGGGACGCCGGAGACGGAGGGGACCAGACCGGGAATCACCACATGTATGAGTCGTCGGATCTGGGTGGAAACAGACAGAATCTGATCAGAGGAGGATTGCGTCATGGACAGAGCAACCAACCCGCTCACTGGCGAAGTGGAGAGATACGAAACAGAGCTCCTGAACGTAGCGTGCAGGATTGTGGAGAATGAAAATAGTTTGAGTAGAAACTTCTATCTCTGAATTAGAATTCACAGAAAGCTGCAACAAATGATACGATACGAAATGAAATAATTACGTCAGAGTTAAAAGTCAACACTTCCACATTGCAAAATTCATTCTATCTGACAGTGAAGAAGCAGGTTGGTGCTGTGTAGGTGTTCCTAATAGGGGGCTGTGAGTCACTAATTCATTGCAGACGTTCCAAGGGCTCAGTAAGATGCTTCTGCCTCTCTGTCGAGGTCTCCTTCACGAGCTCTGACTTACATCAGACTAATGAGCGTCCAGCGTGAAATACACCTTTGTGAAAATGAGTCATCTTCAAAAAAATTACCGTATGCCTCACTCGCGGAAATATGTCTTGGGTTTACAGCCAGGCAGCTCAGAGAGACGTTACAAGCTGCAAGCCTGTCTAATTACTGAGTGATGGCTTGCTTCTCTACTGTGCCTCCTAAGGAATCTCATATCAACTGCCTCTTCCCAAAGGTGGCATATTCCTGGAAGTATTGTTATTCCTGGATAGTATTTAATGGGAATTTTATGGCACAAATCTGACAGAAAATGTTCCAAATAAACTAAGAAGGAAGCAAATGCATCATGAAATCATGCTATAGGAGGATGGGCAGGCAGTGACTCAGTGGGCGGCTCTGTTGCTTCACACCTCCAGGATGGTGAGTTCCGTGTTTGTTTGTGCAGTATGCATATGTTCTCCTTGTGTTTGTGCTCCAGTTTCCTCCCATGATCTGAAAACATCAAGCTATGCAAACTGGAATGTCTAATATGGAGAGGGAAAAATGTGTGTGTGTGTGTGTGTGTGTGGTCCAGGTATACCTTACCTTGTGGGGACCAAATGTCCCCACAACGTGATGAATACCTGATTTTTTTACCTTATGGGGACAAGTTTTTAGTTTCCTGGTCCCCGTATGGGAAAACTCAATTTTATAAAAATCTGTGGCTGCAATGAAAAAACTAAAAATGCAAAAACTCTTGTTTGGTTACTTAAGGTTATGGTTAGGGCTGGGTGGGGGTTATGGTTGTCATAGTTAGCATTAGCATTTTTCCCATAGAAATGAATGAGCAGTCCCAAAAAAGATATGATTACACAACTGTGTGTGTGTGTGTGTGTGTGTATGGTTTTTCCCTTCCCAGGTCCTTTGGGCTGCTGTATACATGGTGTAATCCAGCACTGATGTGTGTAATTATGTTTCCCTCTGTGAATGTATAACTGAAGTGTCAGCTGGAGGGTGAAAATCCTTATTCTTCTGGTCGCTCACCGATAAAACGCCTGAAGCCAACCATAGGCACGACGGACACAGCTTACCGTGATCGCTGGCTGTGCTCTGACTCGTCTCCGAACAGCAGCTCCGCCATCACGCCCTCAGGGGTGGACCTCTTGCCATATCTAATGAGCGAAAACAAGGCCAGCCAGACTCAGGTCACTAACAGAGGCACTGGAGACAGGGTGTCGCTCCATTGGATGTTGTGACTGTAGCTGTGATGCTTAATGGCTTAATAAGGACACACTTGAAGGGCTCTTTTTCATGCTTTCACACACGTCAGAAATATATTAGATTCTGTAGAACCTAGACCCTAATACTATGAAGTTCTTCGGTGAGAAGACACACTGTACCACATGGTTCGTTCTCAAACACACTGCTCCACAGTATAGTCAAACTACTCTGTGCACCGAAGAACAGATGAGGAAACGCAGACATCCATTACACTAAAATCTCAACCCATCACCCTCCCCTAATCGGCAGCTGTTTATATGCGCTGTCATCAATGAACATCTCCTACATGAACGGAAACCCCGTCGTAGACGGATATCACTGCAGCTTTTTTTTTCATACTCACTTTCGTTCAGTCGCAGTCAACAGCCCATTTATTCAGCGTAATAATGCTTTTATCGTTCTGCTTTATTCATTATGAAAATGTCATTTTGCTTTAATTTGGCTCTTAACCTCTCTAAATGCTTCAGAGAGCCAAAGTCCAAGGAGCAGAAATGTCCTCTCCTGCGAATATCGATTCCGCAATTTTTAAATGTTCTGCAAAATCATGGGTACTGGGTATTTACCCCCAGCCCACGAAGTTAACCTGGCATTTTGCCGCCTATATGACGGATTGTCCTTTTGTGTGAAAATACCAGGGTACGAGTCTCCTCTCCTCACCAGCCCAGCAGCACAGTGACAGGTACAGCCCCCTTAATGATGGAGCCCACTGTCTGTGAGTCTAATAGGGCTGCATGCCATGTGTTCAAGGGGAAATCTGTCAGATTATACACACACACACAGGTTTGTAATTATATCTTTGTGGGGACTCTCCATTCATTCCAATGTCTCCTCAAGTTAAAAAGTAACAGGTTTTACCATACAAACACACATACATTTACTCAGCTAGACACATACACACAAATTCAGACTTAGTTACATTTACGTACTCTGCTCAAACTTAACACGACAACAACTACAGAGATACACATATATAGATGTGTAAGGTTAAACTTAAATATATACATAGAGATACATAATTACAGATACGTGCACAGACACAGACACCCTCAGCTTGTGGACACAAAACCACAGTGGAACAATGGCCACAACAGCAGGATATAATGTCACTAAATGCCTTTGATTCACTCTTCCCCTCGAGGTGCGAGCCTCCTAAGGTTTCATCTTCCTCCCTGTGACAACCAGGAGGATTCGCTTCCAGAACTTTCCATCAAGATGCTGGTTAATGGAAGGTAATGTTGTTTACGGATCTCCAGCTGACATCCTGATAGTAGCCGGGGTAAAGGGACGTACAGAGAGCCAGCAGTAATGGGATGCTTTACATGTCACGAGGAGCTGAGTGTGGCAGTGAGGGTACGTCACACAAAGGTCACATGGCAATTTGAAAAAAAAAAGAGTCATATCCATAAGGAGAAAATAATCCCTGATTTGTGTTTTCTGGTGAATTACCAATGGAAATTACCTGTGGAAAACTCTTCTATGTGGGTCATTTGAACTATTGACCACATGCACCACATCTAAACATCTAGGCAGCGTTGTGTCAAACGTGTCCTGCTACTAGGGTTCAATAGTCATTATTAACTTCAACAACAGTGTTACTGTTATTTATTTTAAAAAGTAAGCAAGTATTAACTAACTAATGCTGGATATACATGTAGCAAACTGATTTTAGTATTGATATCCTTTCTTTGTCAGGCAATCAAAGCTTTCCCAGCCGTGTGTCCCATGCTACCAGGGACAGGTTGCACCCCCGCCCCCCCACCACCACAATTAGTGCTTAGAAGATGGATGATCTCAAGATACGGTGCGAGGAAATATCTAGCAAGCTACAGAATCAATGGGCAGCAAGCGCTTGATTTTCTTACTTCTCCAAATGTACTGATGCACAAAGGACACAAACTGTGTCAGATGTTGCGTATTTGTTATATCAAAAAATATTGTTTTGAATTCAAGTTTCAGATGTATTTGCTGTTTTTTCTCACTTCTGAAAGAAAATTCTACAGTCATTTTCTATACCTCTGTGAAAAATCTATTTTATGTTGTTCTAAATACAATGATTTATATTCGAAGCAGATATGTAGGCTACTTAGCAGCAAAGCGAAAATGTATCTTACATATTTGCCTGATCAAGGTTAGGTTATACTCTTCATAGCAACAGGCAGCCTCGTAGCTCAGATATAAATAAAAAAATACATGTATGTTTTTACGACCGGACGTATTTTTACCCTTAAAAATTGCTTAACTGTATAATATTAATGACAGCACTAATAGTAACCCGATACTTGCATGATATTCCCTCAGAGTATGACATGACATCTTGAGATGTTGTTTAAATGTAACTCTTTCCATATTCTTTGGCCAGCTAATTATATGGCCTATAATAGAAAGGATGATTACTACGGTGATTATTTCACGGCTGCACCTCCCATCGAGCATACCGGGTATTTCCGTGATGGGGATTCGGGACGGCAAAAACTTAACGTGGCCAACCCCAAAGTCCAGGGCCGATTTTTAATCCCACTCCAGTCCTGAGAGTGACCACTGCCACGTGCCATTTGTAAGTTCAAGGAGATGTTTCTGCTGCCGGCCTACCTTCCAGTAAGTTGTTTTAAATAACGATAATGGTCAACCGAATAAAACTAATGAGGTCCTGAACAAGCACCGACCCCCGCTGTCAAACTCATTACAGTCCAATTATGAAAGGAAATGGTTACTTTTTTTCCATAAGTGGTTAAGGTGTCTGTTTAATGGGAGGGGCTCTCACCTCTGTCTCGTAATGAGGTTGATGTAATGTCTGAGAGCAGAGTAGTATTTGGCCATTTCCTCGGGCGCCGCGTCCTCCCCGGGGTTCTCCGGTTTGGGTGGGTAGGCTTCCACGAAGGTGCCGAGACACACCAGCACGCAGAAGACGAGTGCCACGAGGACGCTCCAGGGTTTCAGAACAACAGCCATCTGCAAGGACAGCAAGGCACTGTAAGGGGCCCATCGTGCGTATACTGTACCTATACCGCTTTTTGTTGTCCCGTGTTTTTCACATCCTCCAGTCTTTCCGTGATGGTCTTGCGATGCTGACTTGAGGAAGTATTTCGAAAAAGTCGCACGCCGTTCTTCATTTGCACGCATACGACATTATACTCATTTAAACACGTGGAAGCTATTGGAAGACATAAGCGCGCAAATATTTATTTGTTTACGCGATCGCTCCTTAACAGGAGGCGTAGATTTCACAGATGGTGTTTCTACGTGGTTAAAAGGAATTTCCTTCATTGAATTAAGCTATAAGGCGTCCAGTGACAACATAATGTCGGTGTAATGCGCTTTATTGATCTTTTACACCTCATATTATCATGGCAATGCCTTTACTAAGTATTTTGTATTAATTATATGAACGTTAAAAGGTTTCAATTTAATAACAAGCACGACAAAACGTAAGACCAATTTTCATTTTTCATTCCATTAACATTTCACCTGGGAAATATCGGCATAAACTTACCAAATATATCTTGGTAAGTATATATCTTTGTCTAAGACAGATTATATATTCATATTGAGTTACGAGTTACGAAATTAATTATATTCTGCAATAAATGTCGCGGTGCAGAGCTGTCCATGGTTCTGACTGTCCTTGTGCGTGCCCTCTGCTTTGAAATAAAGTGAATGAAAACGAAAAATCGGTGATTATGAGATATCTAGTAAAACACGGTAGTCTGAATGAACTAATGAGTCTGCTAATGCTGGTTTTTCATATTCCATGTGCTGATCTTTTAAATAAATAAATGTCGTCATACTGCCAGTATTGTCACTGGTTTGATATGATTCCCGAATTCAAATGAAACGGCAGAAACAAAGCGCGATGTACTTACTTTTGGAAGGGTTGGAGTTACAGGTGGTCGGTAAAAGAGCCGGTGTTTTCTGCTGCCCCGGGATCTATTGCTTCCAAGAGGTTTGGTTTCTCAGTTGGCGAAGTCTTGGTTGTCTTTTGCTTTTGTTTTATTTACGCCTAGCATTCAAACTGCAGCCTGTGTTTCTTCTACTCAGCCCTGGAGGGCTTTTATACCTGCTGCTATCTCGAGGACACAAAAAGGAGGGGGTGGCCGGGATAAAGTAGAAGTGGGCGGAATCAGCTGATGATTAATATCTTAGTAATGCTATCTTACGCTTCCATAGCACAAAACAAAAAAGCTTTTCGAACAGCAACAGTGTAAGAACCTCAAAAGAACAGCCTGTGAAATGATTAAACACGAAATGGCTAATTTCATATTTGAAGAGTTTTTATTGTTCGGTTTATTATCCACCAGAATAAGGGAATTTGTGGAATTTACCTTTGCATGCGTTTCGTGAGCTGTCGGTATTAGTTTAGTTTTAATACGTTAGTCGGGGACATCGATTTATTCATCTTAGCGTGCAGGGGGCCCCTATGAGCAAATGGATTCTTAATTTTAAAGGGCGAAAGTATGCTGTCTTTTCAAGAAATGCTGTCTTTTCAAGGATGGATGGGAGTTCTTTTCAAGTTAATCGCACATAGACTTATTTTAGTATTCAATACTGAAAATATTGTATCCTTCAGATTAAGATGTTCCGAAATGATCCCTTTTAAAAACCTGAGGAGCCTTGCAGTCTGATGATGATGATGATGATGAATGTTGGGCTATTCCGTTCCATGTCATCGCACTAAGTAACGCGAAATGATATCCTGCGTTTCAGCACTACATCAAAGTGTAATTATTATCACCCGTTTGACCAAATGAAATAATCTGAAATATTGTTTAAAGATTGCATGTACGAAATACCGACTATATTTCAGTGTGGTTGAACCTTGTGTTAGCTAATCGTTCAGCATTCGTTTTATCGGCAGCTGACTGGAAATAACCGTACACAGAAAGATAAACCTGAATACAAGTGAGCCAGAATTCGACTTTTGAGTTTGAGGTGGCTAAAATACTTTGAAAATTCACTGCATTTCAGTAAATTGTTTACTTTTTAATCCAGTCTAGTTTGAAGGGAGTACCTGTTCAGCGTGGCATAATTAGGCTGCACGTGTCAGAACCGAAATACTGAGTTGGTTCGTACAGCTGACACGCCCACAACAGATGCTCTCCTGGTTTAATCAAATCAAAACAGTTAAAACAGAAAAATGGCAAGAAAAAAAAAAACTAATTTTCGATATTTTACATGTGTTAAAACTTACAATCTTTTATGGGGATCATCTAAGACTGTATTCAAACACAAATATTCCAGTGTTCAATTCCAGGTAGGGACGGTAATAAGCTGTTGATATTTGCTATACTATCAGAAATAAAATCCTTTGCCCTAGACGGTATCCTTTCCCAACGCTCAATAATAACCAGTTAAAAAATCTTCATTACACTGAATCTTATTGGGAAGAAACAGTTTGCGGTTAACACATAGCATTAACTAAGCCGCAATAACAACCTAGAGAAATCTTAAATAAAACCCAGTCCTTCGCAATGAGAAGATGCGGACACATCACTTGCTAGTTATTTTGCTTCACGTAATGTAAGTGGTAAGATACTTGTGCTGCTTTGTGGTGTGTTAGTGTTACGTTAGCACTTGGTTACCATTTTTCTCAGCTGCTCTCAAAATATCTTGATTTACATGTTTTATCGAGAGAAAACAATTGTATTAAAATGACACGTTATTTTGAAAAAGTAGTACAAGGGAAGACACCTGCACTCAGCTCCCACCACAGAACTTCGAAAATAAGTTTCCCTATTGATTGGCCTCCTCGGCGACACTTAACAGGTCCCCGAAGTTCAGCTGCCCTTGAGCCATATGGTGGAGGTTGGCGAACTATTCCTGTAGAATATCCAGATCATTTAAGAACAAATAAATGTGTTTCGTGACTTTCAACTGGACTAAAAAATCTATATGCTTATCGACTTAGCAGACTAATTTAAGACAAATGCAAATGCAGGTCCTCTTTATCACTTCGCATTGTTTTGCACGTATAGTCTGCAGTCGCAAAAAGAATCTACTAGAGGGCGCCAGTAATGTATTTTCTAAAGTCACTCCCATGTCCCGAAAAATCTCAGAACCGTAAAAAGGACAGCAGCCAAAAGGTTCGTTCCACTCGAGGAAAACCTGGCACATTTAAGTAAAATGTGTATTTGGAACGACTAAGTAAAGCCATTTTTGTGCTATATATATATATACACACGCTACGCTTAAGATTCCAAACATCTGAAATGTGCATTTCTTTTAAAACACAATCTCTACTGAAATTCATTATTGGAAATTACGCCAAGACCCTTAAACATGAATTAAGGTTACATTATATATAAGTAAGTCTGTTATCTCGATCTTCGAGGGAAGCATTTATTGAATGTGATTCGTGATGAATGTGGCTTTGGACAAGTGCACCTGCTAAATATTAAGTAAATGGTAGCGGCTTGCACAGACTGTTGGCCTCAAATTGGCCTCAAAATGTCAGTTGTGAATGCCTTCTTTTCTTATCATTGATGCAAATTAGATTAATATGGCCGACAACAATGTATTTAATGGTGACAGTGTTTGAGTACATTCCTATGCAAATTGCATAATCTCATGTGCTTTTCCTTATGCAGTTCCATCTGTATATTTATATTTTATTAAACAAGACTGTTTATGTAAGACATTAAACAAAAGCCGACAAAGACGCGTTAACGCGTTATTCTATCTATCGTGTTGAAACGTGTGGTTTGTATGTCTTTCAGATCAGGGAAAAGGTGTAATTGCCAATTTAATACGTTTCATATAATTGCTGTTTGTAACAGAGTAAGCAATGATATCAAACATAATAGGCACGATATTTTAATCGGTTTATACTTGAGATTCTCAAGCAATTTTTATGATTCATATTTCTTAAACCGGCAGAAATTAATCTTGTGAATCAGGAAGAGTCATTGGATATGCTACTGCGGATGGTTTCATTAAGTCGGTTTGTATTAATTTCCCATTTGAGGGTGTTAAATGGAGTTAATGATACGCACATTGCGTAATTCGAACCGCGTGCAACGTCCTTGGGGGCAAATTAAGATTAGAATTAAAATCAATATCGGTTCATTTTAACACTACCTACCACCCACTGCTGGATCAAAAAAAACAGGTCAAGAAAATAAAAAAAATCTGCCCTTTCCTTCATTCTTTATGTGGATTGTGCCCATCTCCATTGGACGGTGAGTAAATAAGGAAGGAGGAGATGGGGTGATTTCGCGGCTTTTTTATTATAGACGCTTCACTGAATAGAAGCTGACGTCACTTTCAAACGCTGACAGTTAATCAAGGGTTTTTTTGGTCGTTAACGACTGTCTCGATACTTCGGGTGACTTTTTCCTTGACACCGTTATAGCATTTTCATTTCCTTCCAATGCTGTAGGTTCCTCCCATGTGTAGCGCAAAGCCTGCAACAATTTTAGCTAATACTATCAGTGCTCTATGTACAATAACCGCGTAACCTGCAGTTTCTGAAAAGGAAATTAAAATAACAATACATATCCTCCAAAATTTCACGGTATTCAAATTAATAAAGTTCCCGTGGCAGGTGGATGTGTTCATAAGTGCTAGACATTGACATTATTATAATTTATTTTACGAAAGGTCGTCCAGTTATGGAGTATCCGATCACGTCAATCATGTTTTATTACTTTGTTTAGGAGTGCCTGCCGCCCACATAACCATTTCACGTTGGATGGGGAGAGAAGAGTGTCCGCTCACCCATGTCACGAAAAATGAGGGAGGAGGTGCGAAGAAAATGAAAATACATAGAACATGAGGGAGGAGGTGCGAAGCTATCGTAGATTAAGGTATTAAAACAGTCTGTTTTTATAAATAAGGAAATAATAGTGAGAGGATTCAGTGATCATGTGGGTGTCTGTATTGCCAAGAATACAACTGATTTCCGATGCCTGTTATAATGAGAATCTACCTAAAACATGTAATCGGCGTAATCGAATTGAAAGTATTGACTTTAGTCTGCAGAGGGGTAGTTATTGAAAGAGTTTGATCAATAACGCAGGATACGACGGAAGGAAGTGAATGGTTTGTTTCGTATATTTAAAATTTCCCCGTAATCTTGACTTGGTCATAGCTGAGATATGGTGCGCTGGGCATCTCCTAAATAAAGGTTCTAGCGAATCAGATAAAGCTAATTTCAGTTGATTGTAAACATCTCCTTAAAACTGAAAGGTTGTGTCTATTAAAGAAGACTCAAAGAACCAGCGAGCACTGAGAATGAAAAGGCCTCACAAACAACCTGAAAACCACTACATTCATGTGTAATTTATGCCTGCCTCATTTGTTTGAGTTTTAACTCTGGGCATCACATTAAGCAATCTGTACAAAGTTTAGACTTTCATAATGTCATACACTATAAACTAGAATCAAATGGTACGCATGGTGCATATGACCAGCCTTGAGGAGACTTTGGAAAAGGCGAAGTGATTTATTTCTTTGGCCTGATCATCCATTGTCACTAGCAACGTTCAGTCGTAATGTGTAACAGCCTATGGCTCATGGGAGGTAAATATCAGTTTAAAAAGATACATTTATGGCATCTTCTATCGGGTGGGCATTAGATGGTTTCACTATAATCCATTTGCCCCAACAGCCCCCACCTCCCTAACCTACCTCACCTCCCACTCTATGATGCATTTTAGATTAGTCAGGTGAACCTGAATCCTGCACACCCTTAGAAAATGTGTCAGCCTCTCTTTATGTCCTCTCTCCATTGACCCACAGTCTCAGGATTCTTTTACTCAATAACCCCACCCCACCCCCCTCCATCCCCATCCATTCTGCTGGTAATAAGTATTACTCACCCCTTGGCGAGTCTCAGCCATCGGACACTAATTGCTGTTTTGTGGACAGTTTGACTGCTGGCCTTGTGCATTTGTGTCAGGGAGTTTTTTTTTTAATTTGGCTGTTGTCCTTTTCGAAAATTGCTTGACACGTTTTCTCACCGGAACCTGAGTTGAAATGTCGAATCCCATACCGAAGCGTTCTTGTTCACAGGGGGCAAGGCTCTCATTTTCTTGTCGATAAAACTGCCTAATATGGTAACTGCGATGTCGATAAATAGTTCATCCACTCTGATCTTACTGCTGGTTGCTTTTCCCCACACACATCCATCACCAATGGCCAGTGCACCACTGAATGCTGGGAAAAGCCCCAGGGCTGATTCATAAAGACTTATTATACTTTATTTTACAACACTGAACAGAACAAACACACAAAGGGAAAGCAGCAGTACATTAACATTAAAATTAACGTTACTGACGCTTCCATTTGCAAATTTAGTCTTAAGTAAATATTCAACCACATTTTATTACAGAATCCTGCACTGTACTACTCTTTATAGCTTCCTTTGAATATTTTAGCAAATTTGCCTGTAAATTTGTGCAGTGGTGGTTTATTGGTTAGGGAAGCGCACTTCTAATTGAAAGATTACAGGTTTGAATCCACAACCAGCAGAGCACCACTGAGGTACCCTGAGCAAGGTACCGTCCCCAAGCACTGCTCCCCGGGCGCTGAATTAGCTGCCCCCTGCTATGTCACGATGTCACATATGGGTCAAATGCAGAGGACACATTTCGTTGTTGTGTGTCAACACTGATCACTAAACTCAAAAATTCACCGTCAGATGTTACTGCTCAGTGATTCTGAAGTTTTAGTGTCTTGAATCCAATAATATACCTCCCAGATTGCACAGTTACACAGAAAAGTGTCATTTGGTATTAGATATAATTTTTAGCAACAATATCCTCTGTTTATAACTGCTTATCCAGTCCAGAGCTGTGGTGAGTCTGAAATCTATCTATGGAACATGACACAAGGTAGTGTGCACCCTGCCAGGGAAGCCAGTCCACTACAGTAATTGTAAATGTAAGTGATGTGTGACCTTGTCAGATTAAGGATTTGTATGTATTACAGTTTTTTTGCAAGATCCATTTTGAGCAATATGGTCGATTGCAAATGGCACAGAAGAAATGGAAAAAATATATTTAGGTAAGCATACGACAGTGCAAACAAAGTGAAACATCTCTGAAAGCTAAAACCTGGGTTAAGCGTTCTTTTGGCATTGAGGC